ATGAGTTGGAATGAAACACGAAAATATTAAGTTGTGAAAGAAATGCAACTTTTGATGTGGCATACTTTACTCGAAATTTCCGGGAAAAAAGGAGCGCCTGAAGAAATTTATGAATTGGAGAAAGCTGAACAAATGTGCACTGCATGAGCTGACTGAGCAGCAGCAAAGTCGCTCCTCAGAAATCTCGTCAACTCGTTTCAGTGAACAAAAACGTCCGACTACTGGCTAAGCGATTTTCCAAAAATATAGGCAGCGACGAACATCAAAAACTTTTTCCAAAAGAAATTCCGCAAGGTGATGACCACGCTGATAGTTTCGTGGCCTTCCAAAGTATGATGCATAACAGCTTTCTGTACCCAGGTGAACTTGATACATACCAACGTCTGTCTATTCCACCGACGTGATGTACCGGCAACAGCAAGGTCTGTATTGAAGGGAAAGAACCGTTGTCCATCTTGACACTTATCCACATGTCGCTCAAACGACCTCGCAAAAAATGGTCGAATCGGCCTATCCAGCTTTGCTTTTCACAGTGCATTCACAGGATCTCACCCTCACCAACTTCCTGTTTTTCAGCCATCTCGACAGCTTCTTGGGCAGAAAAAGATTTGAAAACAGAGACATGGTGGAAAATGACCTTCGCCGATTTCCGCGCTTCTACGGTTTCTATACTTTGAGTTCGTGCATTGGTTCAGCCCGCTTTTTGTTAAGGAAGATTTTTAGTTTCCAATGCTTTTTCAAATGACTAAAAATGTTACTTTGAGCTGAGATATATTGCTTTGAAATGGAAGCCAAAAAGTCGCTTCACTTTTTGGAACCTAATACTAACGACAGAAACTATGACTTATTGCTCATGGGTCAAACCCATTGCTTATCCTCACGGGGAAGTCAAGGCCTCGTCATCATCGGGCATCTAAGCTCTGTACCACATCCGCAATATTGCAAGACGTGTGAAGGCAGGGTGTCGATAAGAAGACGCAAAAGACCAGACTCGGCGGCTGGGACGTATAGATTGATCTGGCTGGCGACTGCATATATGCTCTGCATATCAGGCGCGCTTCCAGAAAATCCCATGGCATGTGGGCGCCAGAGCGCGCGCACCTTACAAGGCGAAACTCCTTCAAAAAACCGTGGGGAGGTCACGGCAGGGGAGGCTTATTTATTCTGTGATTCAGAAGACATGGAAACAGGGCATTGAAATTTCTACGAAATTCATAGGTGCAATCGGCCAGGTGCCACAATTGATCCTCCTTAGGTTAGTCTCCCTGCTATCTAACTCGTAACATATCTGAGGTAGCGCCTCGGGCACAACATAGCGCGGTACTTAAGCATTGTCTGCATGTTGCCTGTTAGAATTATTATGTGGTTGACCGGTTTTGATAAGATACAACTGCTTCTTTCATTTGCAGATCACAGAACTCCGTCTCTTTGTGCAACCAGATAATCGTCAAGAGGCTGACGATGTTATTAATATTTTCAGCCGTGAGTAATCGTGAATTTTCAGAAGTGAATCTGTGCGCTTTCGTTTTTTGAACTTGAATGGGGTATCCGACAGTGGGTTACATAAATCTTTAGCTGTTCACAGGATTTGTTTTTTTTTTCATCCGGATTCTTCAGATCTTGGCAAGTTGTCGTTCCTACGAAAATTTGCTTGCGGTAACTGGAAGAGCTATGACGTTACTGTTGCACTGAGCAGTGGATTAGCATTTTGTTTTGTGCTGCAGGAAGTCGAGATTCGGTTAGTCTTTTTGTTTATTTTTGGCGCTCGCATCTTGCGTTTAAATTCTTAATACTGTATTGAGTCTGATCGAGTTAGAAATTTCTCAACAAAACCGCATTTTCGACTTGTTTTTTTAAGAAATATCATCGCGACTGTACGTGAGGAACTGGCCGTGTTGTTATCTGGAATTCCATCCACTATTCAATCTCTTTATTTACAATCCCTTGCAATCACAGACGCGGATTAGTAGACTTGTGCAGGGTATCGCTTAACTTTTCTCTGCAGGCCCTGTTCAGAGATGTCCGCTTGCGCGAAAAAACGCATAGGCGAAACAATGTGAAATATGTATCGACTGAACGAAGACGCACAGGCGAATCGTGAAGTGGGAGGATCGACGAAAATGAGTATCATACGCATCGACTTCCGAACGCTTCGCTCGCGATTTTCCGCCCGTCCGTTTCTCACAATCGATACATATCAAACTCTGACTGAAATTCGCCTGCTCCGGACGTTTCGCTTACGCGTTTCACAATTTCTCAGTCGATGCGTATCTAAATCTTGGCGGAGATTTTCGCCTGTGCGTTTTTTCGCGCCGGCGGACATCTCTGAACAGGGCCTGACCTGCGTTTGTATTCTAGATTTCCAAGTAATACTCTAGTTTCAGAGATTGAGTTGTCTAACTAACCTGCGGCTGTCCAGACTTTCAAGAGTTTCTTCTCGAGGTGCCTATCAGGTGCGTCATACTATTATAGGATTCTGTCCTTTTGTCGCCCACGTGTACTGCATAAGTCAGTGGATTCCGAGCCTATCTTTTGTAATGTTACGTACTACCTGCGTAATATTTAGTCGCTTTCGAAACTCCGGCGATTAGAAGTCTTGAAGTGTTCGGTCCCTGTAAACGTTATGGTGCTACGATTCCTGACGAAAAATTCGGTTTTTCGCGAATTGAAACAATTCAACGTTGTTGTCACTACGGGAAATCCAGATTATTACACTGATATGGTATGGGCTTGGACTTTTTTCAATTAATTTTCGAGTCTGGTGGATTGGATGAAGTGTTTTTCCAGCTGTCTCAACATTTTGTTGGTGTCCACTGTTCAAGGCATTATACTAATAAACGGTGGTGCTACATTGAAGTCGAGGGACGAAAACTGCGATGAACTAATTGTTATTGACTAAATTATTCCAGAGGGATTCACTTTGTTCATTTCATGTGAGTTTAAATTTTCATTTGTTTTATTATGAAAAACGTCTTAGAATCAGCATGTGCAAAGGTTGGTAATCTGTTAAAAATGAATCATGGCTCTCTGGAAATGAAAAAAAGGCGAGCCAGACTCTGGCTAGAAATGAATTTTTGAATTCGAGGCTTCACGGTCATTTTGAATAGAGGTGTTGGTCATGCTTCACGTCTATCTGCGTATTTTATTCTTTTTCATGGATTAACAATAACCTAGCAATAAGTCGATGTATGACTGATACATGCCATAATTCGCTTCCTTTATTTGTTGGTCTGTCTGTATTTTGGAATTATCTGAGAACCTTCCCTCACCCCCCCCCCTGGACAGCTCACATCAAGTTTGGTATGGGTGGGATATGGGATAAGAAGTGGAAAGGATTGATCAGCCTGACTGGTTCGCGTTCGGCGACGGCAGGTGGTGCTTACGACGAAATGAGCCATGGCGAGGGCATAATCTTCTGATTCGGTTCCGCAATAGCCCAAAATCGGGAACTGGGTAGAGGTGTGCACCACGCTCTTAAGTCGTAACCAGGGGGCCCCTGCAGTGAGCGGAGTGTTCTCCGAATGGGCGCTGCTTGCTAAAAAATTCAGACTTTCGGTTAAGAGGGTCTAGGAGCAGGGAAAAATTATTATAAAGAGCAATACAACCTCTACATATAAGAAGCTCAAGGCACACTCGAAGCGAGGAGGCCCGCCCATAAAGGTTGGGGTGTGCACGGAAGTATGTGTAGTTCGCCACAAACGTTCGAACCGGTCCGCAGACAGCTCAGAGATTGGAAAAAAGTGAATTGAGGCTGCGAAAAAGTAGAAATCAAGTGCTACTGGTGGACGAGGCGTGCGTCGGGTGGAGGGGTCCCCACGGGACTTATATTAGTGTAGACAGCGTAGAAACCGGAAAAAGTGGATCGGGTTGGCGAGGAAGAAAAGTTCAAGTGTCATTGTTAGATGGGGTTTCGTAGACCTAGATTCTATAGTTTGGATTGGATACAGCCCAGGGATTGGCAACAAAGTGAATGAAGTCTAGCGAGGGAGCGGAGATCAAATGCCAACGGTGGAGGGGCGTGCACCAAAGCGGGCGGGTTTCCCACGAAACTATTTAATTCGTCTCTGAGACAGCAGGAAGATTGACAGAAAAGGGACCATACTTGAAAGAGGCGAGGTCAAAAGCTATTGGAGGGTGGAGCATGCACCGATGTGCGTGTAGCTAAAAATCAAAAATGCCATATAGTTCAGAGATGAAACGGGGACTGAGAAGAAAGCAAATAGAACTTAGCTGTGCAGGGCTAGTCGAATACCGTGGTGATGGGGCTGAATTTTTAAGAATTTTGACCCACATCGCTCATATCGCCGCGTAATCGTGTCGTGCAAATAGAATGGCGGCGCCGAACTAGTATCGGGTTGTCTCCTAATTCCTGTCTCTTTTCTATTCAATTTCAAATTTCTTCCGTCTAAGACCGTTTCATTGCGAAATACGTTAGTATGTTGAAGTATGCTTCAAGAGCCTTAACAGCATGGTTTCGGAAACGCAAGCCCTTAACGGGTTAATCAACTAGGAATAAAAATAGGTCAGTGACTATAATGAATGATTATGCTTTACGATCCTCAAATGAACTCTGTAGCAAGGAGGACAACAGAGAAGATCAGCGCTGTTTGACCCAGTCTCTGCTACTGATAGGGTACTGAGCCTAGTGACCCAATCGCAGCGGCGAAGACGAAACGAGCAGGTGAAGATCAACTTCATACTGAGCCTGCGGTCACTTTTGATGAGGCGTCACTTGCACCATAAAACTGGTAGTGCATTCCGACCACGTACTAAACCAGGGTATTGTAGCAGATACCTGAGGCTCAGCGCGATGTACCAGCACAAGGTCTGGGAGACGGAGGTACCCTAGCTCCACGTAAAATGAAGTATCTCTATGATCAAAGCCAAAATGGTCCGGTTGACCATAGAAAGAAAAAGCCACAGCCTGAACGCATCTGGGAAGAAATTCGATCCTCTTCGATCGAAGCACAGATTGCACCGTGCCATCGACGCTAAATCGTTCGACGACCAGAGCGCAGCCCTTCCGGAGATGAAGTTATGAGTCCGCTGCACAAAACAAAACGCGGCACCCCCGATGCCTACCTCGCAGCGCGGATCTTAAGCGCCAGCGATCAACCCAACAGCTTGTTATTCTGAAATAATCACTCATTGTTTGTTGTGATTCGAGCGCGTGGCTCTGGTCTGGGAATCCTTTTCCAAGTATTAGAGACACAAGCATAGGCCGAAATGTCCTCACGTGTGAAATAACTCTCTGGCTGGCTCGGTCATTGTGAAAGGAGGCCCTCAGAAACTTCTCAGAATCTCATTTCTCCAAATGGACCCCCCCCCCCCCACCTTACAATGCCAACTTGCCACGTTCTAAGGGAGATAGCTGGAGCCACGATACCTCATCCACCATATAGCACTGGTGTCTCTCTATCGGACCATCGCCTCCCCTGCGCCTGAATCAAGCATTTGCTAGAAAAAAAGCTCAAAGATTGGGAAAACCCCAAAAACTAACCGCCAATCTATCCTTATTTGCCAGCTTCACTGATCTTTCTGGGGCCCTATCAAGGAAAGCTTTCAATCACTTCCTAGCAAATGAGATGGATAATCCAGTGAAACCATAGAGTGATGGCTTATGCTATGATCAGTTATTCCTAGAGAGAAATAAAAACTTGAAATGAATCAAAAAGTGTCGCAAGTTGAGACAGGAATCTGTTAGTACACTGGCACCCCGAATATATATAAGGGTATCGGCAAAGCAGAAAGACAACCAAAAGTCAGTAGAACAACCAGGTACCACAAGAGCGCGACTTGGAATGCAGTTCTCTTAGATGATTAAATGTAACCTATTTCTTGATGTGAAAGTTCTGGTACTTTGTGTTAGCGCGAGGCTCAATCTTCCAATTATGTCACGTTAAATTTGAAAATTTGGGATATCGCAAACACAAGCAGATTTACATTATTGGATCTCGTGATTAACACTCATTTTGATGGAACCAGAGAGTTTGTTTGGTTACTTTGCTAATAACTTGGACTCTCCCATTAGGCTCGAGGCACGCCACTATTGCAAGCATTGAATTGGGCTAGGAGACCCCGTCGAGCCACATTAAGGCACGCTGAGTGAAAGGACAGGATTGTGATTCCTGAAAAGTGCCGAAATTAAAATCAGGAAGAAAGCGCTGTAAAAGGCTCGTCGCTCAGAGAGTCCTTGTTTGTCGCACATGAAACTGACTTGAAGACAAATTTACCTGAAAATTGTTTAACGAGACACTTCAATAAGTATTTGTTACCCATTTCAATAAGTTGCAAAAATATCCGTGTAGTTAGCACACAGTGTTGTGTTATTCACCCATTAAGTTACTCAATACAGGTCCACCACCATGGACAGAGTCAGTCGATTCCCTATTCGCGCATGAACTGACGAGACCGAGTCATAGCGCCGCCAAAGACGACCAAGACGACTATTTCGCGCTCCTTTGAGGCATTCCTCGCTATGAAAATTTCAGCAAAGTTGAAGATGGTGAGAGAGGTGCAGTCATCGTTTTCTTTCGACTCCCAGTCTCCTCAGTTCTGAGGAAGGATCGCTGACCTGTCCGTTTATTGGGACACTGTAGGGAGTAACAATGGTGATCATGTTGATTAAATTAGTTTGCATGCTGAATAAAAAAATAAAGCAGAAAAGGATGTCAAAAGATTCAAGACTTCTTTCCCAACCTAATATTACAGCCTCTTCCGCCTCGGCTGCTCAGTGTACGGCCACTCAGGGGTACAGGATCATACTCGTTGTTGCGGAATGCCAAAAAAGTCTGCCCAACGTCGGTTGTTTCGCCGTTTTTTCTTCAGTGTATACCATTGCGCAGTCGCAGAGCTCCATCGGCCGTCATTTGTCCTTATCAAGTGCCCAGCAAAT